CCGAGTTCTGGATAATACTTGACAAAAAATCCTTAGGGAGACCCCTGCGGTGGACACATTTCCTCCCGAGCAAAGTAAGGAGTTTATAGGACTCCTAGAGCTTGCAACCCTTTCATCACCAATGCTCTGGGAACCTTGAACCCTAGATAGCCTATGTAAAAGACCCCCAGAGTGCTTTCACGGCCTGTGTGGTCCTCTACCCTAGGTCCCACATACCAAGGTCAACCATACCAGTACCATGAGCACTGCCAGATTAGATTTGACCAAGGGGAGAATCAAAATGAATGAACTCTAATTGTTGTTTGCAAACATCACTGAAGGAATTAGTTTTTTGGTCAAATGCATCTCCTAACAACTTGTATGTCCACAGCTAGAAATTAAATGAGGTGTGTCAAGTTTAAGGCTATTCAGAATAATCCTTCTCTGGTGCACATGTGCTTGACTTTCTTTCTGGTTTATATACATGAGTGTAGAAATGCTAAGCCATAGTGAATATGAATTTTCAATTTTAAAAGATAATACCAAACTATTTTCCAGAGTGGATCTATGAATTTATATTCTCTATTACTCCATTTCCTTAGTGACACTTGTTATTGTCAGTATTTTTATAATTGTCATTATAGTAATTTTACAAAATAATTAGTGGAGGATGGGCATATTTTATTTAGTTTATATCTTCATTTATAGACATTTTTTATCTCTTCTTTTATCTAAATGTTTTTAAATATCTTACATGATCATTTACCATTTTTTTCTATGAAAAGCTTGCAACTTTTTTTAGATGTATTTCGTTTCTTCTGTATTGATGACATCTTAAAATTACATTTTCCAGTTGTTTCTGCCTGTTTGGAGACGTAACTGGTTTTGATTGTTGATCAGGTATTCACCAATCTGAATGAACTTTCTTTTTAATTCTCATTGTTACCTTGTATGCTGTCTTTGGTAGTTTATGCAGTATAAAACTATCCTCATTTCTAATACATGTATGTTGTCTTTATTTTTCTTCTCTTATCTCATTGGCCAGGATTCTGGGACAATGTTGAATACAAGTGATATAGTTGTAAATCTTGCCTTGTTCTTAATTTTAAAGGTATTATTCAAAAGTGTTATGTTTTAACGTTATTGAGAAATAATTGTCAAATATAATTGTATATATTTAAACGTGATTATTTGACATACTTATACGTTGTGTAATGATTACCAGGATCAAGATAATTAACACATCCATCGCCTCACATAGTTGGGTCTTTGTGTGTGTGTGTGTGTTTGTGTGGTGAGACTGTTTAAGATCGATTCTCAGCAACTTGCAAGTACATAATACCAAATTATTAACTATTGTTACCATGCTGTACATGGAATCCTCAGAACTTCTTCCTCTTATAACTGAAAATTTCTACCCTTGCACCTACATCTTCCCATTTCCTTTTCCCTAAATTCCCTGTCGACTACCATTCTATTCTCTGTTTCTATGAAATCTACCTTATTTGTATTTGGCATATAAGTGATACTGTACAGTATTTGTTTTTGTCTGATTTATTTCACTTAGCACCATCCCCCCCAGGTTCATCCACATTGTTGCAATTAGCAGGAGTTCATACTTTTTTTATGACTGAATAATATTCCATTACATGTACATATATATCACATTTTCTTTATCCATTCATCCATTGAAGGACACTTAGGTTGTTTCCATATCTTGGCTATTGTAAATAGTGCTGAAATGAACATGAGTGTGCAGATATCTCTTCAAAATACTAATTTCAATTCCTTCAAATATATACTGGGGCTGCTGGATCTTATAGTAGTTGTATTTTTAAATATTTGAAGAACTTCCATACCGTTTTTCATAACAGCTGTACCAATTTACATTCCTACCACCAGTGTAGAAAGGATTTCCTTTTCTCCACATCTTTGCCAATGTTTCTTATCGCATGTCTTTTTGATAATAGCCATCCTAACCTGTGCGACGTGATATCTCGGTGTGGCTTCGACTTTTCATTTTCTTGATTATTAATGATGTTGAGCACCTTTTCATATACCTACTTGCGGTTGGTGTGTCTTCATTGCAAAATATTTATTCAGATCCTTGCCCATGTTTTAATTGGATTATTTGCTATTTTGCTATTGAATTGTATGAGTTCTCTATATTATGGATATTAACGCCTCATCAGAAATATGGCTTAAAAATATTTTTCCCATTCTGTAATTTGCTGATTCAAATTATTGATTGTTTCCATTGCTGTGCAGAAGCTTTTTACTTTTACGTAGTCCCATTTGTTTATTTTAGCTTGTGTTGCCTGTACTTTCGGTGTCTTTTCCATGAAATCCTTGCCAATCCAATCAAAAAAATTTTACCTATGTTTTCTTCTAGGAGTTTTATGGTTTCAGGTCTTACACTTAAGTCTTTTGTCCATTTTGAGTTAATTATTGTGAGTGGTGTAAGATAGGGGTCCAGTTTCATTGTTTTTCATCTGGATATCCAGATGACTCAACACCGTTTATTGAAGAGACTATCATTTCCCCAATCTGTGTACCTAGTGCCCTTGTCAAAAATTACTTGACTGTATATGTACAGGTTTATGTCTAGAGTCTATTCTTTTCCACTTGTCTATGTGCCTGTTTTTATGCTAGTTCCATACTGTTTTGATTACTATAGCTTTGTAATAATGCTTGAAATCAGGAAGTGTGATGCCTCTAGCACTGTTCTTCTTTGCCAAGATTGCTTTATCTATTCAGGATCTTTTATGGTTTCATACAAATTTTAGGATTTTTTTCCTACTTCTGTGAAAGGTGCCATTGGAATTTTGATAATGATTGCATTGAATCTGTAGATTGCTTTGGGTAGTATAGACATTTTCATAATATTAAGACTTCCAATCCAAGAACACAGGATATCTTTCCATTTGTTTGTGTCTTCTCAATCTCTTTCATCAATGTTTTACAGTTTTCAGTCTTTCGTCTCCTTGGTCAAATTTATTCCTAAGTATTTTATTGTTTTTATGTGATTGTAAATGGAACTGTTTTTTAATTTCTCTTTCAGATAGTCATTGTTAGTGTACAGAAATGCAACTGTTTTCTGTATGTTGATTTTGTATCCTGGAACATTATTAAATTCAATTACTAGGTCTACCAGGTTTTTGGTAGAGTCTTTAGGGTTTTTTATATATAAGATCATGTCATCTTAAAATAAAGATAATTTTACTTCTTCCTTTCTGATTTGGATGCTTTTATTTTCTTGCTAATTGCTGTGGCTTGGACTTCTAGAACTATGCTGAATAGAAATGGTGAGAGTGGACATCTTTGTCTTTTTCCTAATCTTAGAGGAAAGGCTTTTAACTTTTCACCATTGAGTATAGTGTTAGCTATAAGCTTCTCATATGACCTTTATTATGATGACGAACATTCCTTTTACCTAATTTGTTGAGAGTTTTTATCATGAGAAAGTTGAATTTTGTAAAATGCTTTTTCTGCATCTTCTGAAATGATCAGATGATTTTTATCCTTCATTTTGCAATGTGGTGTATCACATTTATGATTTGCATATGCTGAACTATCCTTGAATCCCATGGTATATGATCCTTCTAATGTGTTCTTGAATTCATGTTGCTGATATTTTCTTGGGAATTTTTGCATCTATACTCATCAGGAGTATTTCATTTTATTATTACATATTACATACAGACAATATTGATCTGTAATTTTCTTTTCATATAGTATCCTTATCTGGCTTTTGAATCTCTGTAATGCTGGCCTCATAAAATGAATTTGTGAATGTTCTCTCCTCTTCAATTTTTTGGAAGTTTGAGGAGAATTGGTTTTAATTCTTCCTTAAATATTTGCTAAAATTTACCAGGAAACCATCGGGTCCTAGGCTTTTCTTTGTTGGGAGATATTTGATTACAGATTCAACCTCATTACTTGTAATTGGACTGTTCAGATTTTCCATTTGTTCAATATTCAGTCTTGTAGGTTGTATGTTCCTAAGAATTTATCCATTTGTTCTAGGTTATACAATTTCTTAGCATATAATTGTTCAAAGTAGTCTTTTATGATCCTTTGTATTTTTATGATCCTGTGACATCAGCTATGATGGTTCCTCTTTCATTTCTTTTATCTATTTGAGTCTATTCTTTTTTTCTTCAGTCAAGCTAAAGGTTTGTCAATTTTGTTTATCTTTAAAGAAAACCAAGCTCTTATTTTTGTTTTTCTATTGTTTTCTGGTCTTCGTTTCATTTTCTTTCCTACTCTGTTCTTTGTTGCTTCCTTCCTTCAGCTAACTTTGGGCTTTGTTTGTTCTCTTTCTAGTTTCTTGGAGGTAAAAAGTTCAGGTTTTTTATTTGAGATCTTTCTTCTTCTTACTGTAGTCATTTATAGATATGAACCCTACCTATTAGAACTGCTTTTACTGCATCCCATAAGTTTTGATATCTTGTGTTTCCATTTATATTTGTTTCATGGTTTTTTAATTTCCCTTTGGATTTCTTCTTTGACTCAATGGTTGTTCTTTTCTCCTGGATTCACTTTATTTATTCATAAAGTATAATTTAAAATAGTTCTCTCATAAAACAAAAGTGGTCATTTTTCTCAAGATTTTTCCTGAAAATTTCTTTATTTTATGCTCATTCTTGAATGATTGTTTAATTAAGTATAATTCTCAGTTGATAATTAATTTCCCACTACACTTTGGAGTGAAGAAGGACTCAGGCATGGTAGACAGCCATTCAAAAGTCTAAAATAGTTAAGATATTGAGGATAGAGGGAGAAGATTTACCTCCCTAGAAGATAATATAAATTTAGAGACAGGCAATTCTAACATAACATGCCTTAGAATCTCCTGTGTTGATGAAATCTCAGTTTGAAGAACCACACCTAGCCTCAAAAAGAATTATTACAATTAAATCTTCACCTAGTCCCTAAGAAAGTTATAGTGGAAAAAAGTAAAGAAAATCTTAAACCAAAGACAGATAATTTCCAAAGGAACAATGATGACAATAGCAACAATGAAGGTAAGAAGACAGAAAAATATCTCCAAAGGCTGTGGGAATAACCTATCAACCAAAAATTCTAGACACTGAACAGATTAGGGGCAATAAGAATATCATTCCTCAGGCCACATGGCTCTCTGGACAGGATCTCCTTAGAGACCCTTGAAAACTGGGTACAGAGTCTGCTCCAAATAAACGAGGCTCATTACAAGGTAAATAAATAATGTTGGATAATAGTTTTCCATCTTTACATTCATTCATTCAGCAAATAGTTAGGACAGGCTTAAATTAGCCAGACATTGTGCTATTACTAGTGTCCACAAAAGGGAACGTAATAGGTGGATAACACAATCTATCCCCTCTTCCTTTGTAATCTACCACTCCCCCAATATGCAGTGCTGTATGGATCCTGGTTTGACCACACTCATGGCTGGATGTCCATGAGAGGGAAGGAGAACTTCCTGATACTGAGTTATGAAGAGCTGAAATGGGTAACGATGGTACTTATGGTTAGCACGCACCCCTCACCATGATTTTCACTCCTCTAACTTCCCTCCATTCCTCTGTGTCTCTATGCCACCTTCTCAGTCAGAGTTTAGCTTTGTGAAGAGTCATTAGGAGTGAGACTAGCTCTCTGCTCTTCATTGCCTTACTTCTGTTTGACACTGCCCAAGCTCTATGCTCTCTTTCTTCATGTGTTATTCTTTGTTTCATGTTACAACAGTTAAAGGTCTTTCTCATGCACTGAGACGGAGTATAATGATTCATGCTCACACCTGCAATGGTTCTAAGAGTTCTAGGTGTAGGATACTTGATGCTACTGATAACCTAATGGTGGGAGGGGACTGAAGAAGAAGATGGGACTGGGTAGAAACAAGTTAGGGTCCAGAGCTGTGTATAACTGCCTGAAATTCCAGACTGATAGAAGAAAAATGTAGTCATGAAATCAGTCTGTGAATTATTCTGACAGGCCAAGTACTAGATTGAACATTGATGGGCAGGAAAAGCTGACTTACAGTGCTCAAAACCAGTAAGGATGGTTAAACGATTGGAAGAAGAACTTTACCTACTGGTGGTACCCTGGAGAAAAGAGAAAACAACATAAACACAGGCTTTTGATTCTGAGAAATATCACTTCCCATCATCTTCCTCTGGCTACTTCTGTCCAATTCTCTGTGACCTCCACATGAATTTCATTTTCACCAAGAAAACTTTTGTAACAAGTTTAGCTATCTCAGGAAAATGCTCCTGTACCTTCCAGTAATTATGCTTTCAAGCCACAAAATGAACATTTACTGAAGTAATTTCTTAAGTTATGTGTTTTCTGGTTAGATCATAATGAGCGCTCATGGGATAAAGAAACATTTTCAAGCATTATAGTTCTAAAAGGATGGTCAATGATTCAAAGCAAAGTCTTTCTGGTTTTTAAAATCTATTTCCTTATGGTAATCTCCCAGGATGATGTGTCAAACACTAGTTACTGAGATAATATATAAGAAGATATTATAAAATTCCATGTGTTATTGAAATGTTAGTTATGGAAAATGGTATAATTGATGGCACATCCAGCATTGGAAACCAATCCCTTCAATCTTTGCCAAGTTCTCCCTGAACCTCTCCTTGATTAATCCTGATCATAATTGTCTAGAAGCCATTCTAAAAGAGTCGTTAGAAAATCCATGCCCTGTAGTTACTGTTAAGGCTCTTGAACACAACTATACTGGGAAATCCATGTGGATCCTGCATCTTTTCCATCCTTTGTGTTCCATCCTCTTTACATTTTTCCCTTTCTTCTTCCTGGTCACATCCTATGGCTTCTTGCTTCTCATGTTTTTCCTCTATTCCTCCCTTCTCTCCCCTTTCTCCTCACATTGCTTTGTTTTTTTTTTTCTCACCTCCATTTCCATGTTATTTCTCTTTCATATCCTCTCTCTTGTTTTTCTTTCTTCTAGGACACAAGAAGCACTGTAGAGAAGATCTGCCAATTCACCGGCAAGAAATTAGAACCAGAAGAACTGAACTCCCTCCTCAAGAATAGCTCCTTCCACATCATGAAAGAAAACAAGATGTCCAATTATTCCCTCCTGCATGGTCAGTATTTTAATGAGAAGAATGCATCACTTATGAGAAAAGGTAAAAGAAAATTGTCCACCTTCAAAATGTATCAGAATATGAGGAGGGCATTCTGGTACTCACAGTAAGGCACTAACAGTTGGGACTAGTGGTGTTTGAATTTATCAACTCTAATTGCTCATCACCCAGAGAACTTGTCAGGTGCCTTTATCGGGGAGTCTCCTTTCATAGTACGATGTGGGCTGTAGGCACTTGAAGGAAATTGATTAGGACAGCAATGGTCATCTGACTTATGTGAAGTCATTCAGATTTTCTCTTCTCAGAATCTGACATGGTACATATCCATTCTACAAACACTGACCAGGCTAATTCACTACTCCAGCCAAGTTCCCATCTTATATTGACCTGGGAAATGAGTACAGGATTGGGGATGGTCATGTTGGTTCTACCCCACTGGTGATTTAGCATGGAGAACTATCCTGAACAAAGAGATGTATAAAGAATGACTCAAGTGAGAAAAAGCAAGAGGAGAGACTTTTCACTGAGCTGACAGCCTGTCTTGCTATTAGACATTGTAAGTCCTCCTGCAAGGAGAGATTGATCATGTCCATAACCTTGGGCTCAAGATGAGTGAAGAATGTCGACTGCATGGCATAGGAGCTCATTTTCATAGAACTCTGTAGCTCAAATATATCCAGGATGGCGATCCATGGAAGGAAGAAATCAAATTTTTCAAAAGACTTCAAGCTAGACCCTGGCTGCCACCCAGGGTAGAGGGGTTGGGGACCACCACCCCAGTGGCCCAGGAAGTCAGAGCATCAAGACAAAGAGACTCATTCTCAATCCTTAAAATCTCATAGGATTTCTCCTGCTAGGGTTTGGGTTTGTTTGGGCCCTGGGATCCCTATCTTCTTTTTGAGTTCTCTGTTTTGGACTGGGAATGCCTTTCTACAATTGTATTTTGGAAGCAGATAACTTATTTGGGTTCATAGGTCCACAGCTGCAGAGGAATCTTACCTCAGCATGGATCATACCTCGAGTTTCAACTCATGCCTGATTTACATAATATTTAGATGTGATTTGGGACTCAGAATTGATGTTGGAATGGGTTTGGACTTCTGGGCAGTTGGGATGAGGTGAACGTATTTTGCACGTGAGAGGGACGTCATTTGGGTGTGGGGAAGCCAGAAGGCAGAGTGTTGTAGGCTGAATTGTGTCTCCCCAAAATTCCTATGTTGAATTACTAACCCTCAGTTCTTCAGAAAAGTAACTGTATTTGGAGATAAGGTCTTAAAGAGATAATTAATTCAAATTGAGGTCTTTAGAGTGCGTATAACTCATATGAATGGTGTCCTTGTAACAAGAGGAAATTTGGACACAGTAAATGCACATATAAAGAGAAGATCATTGAAGACAGCCATGTTCACACGAAGTAGAGAAGCCTCCAAAGAAACCCACTCTGCTGACACTTGGATCTTGGATGTATAGCCTCTAGACTGTGAGAAAATTAATTTCTGTTGTTTTTTTAAAAAAAGTTCTCTAACAATGCCAGCCTTTGACACTTTACTGAACTAGAAGTAAAGGGAATACCTAGCATACAGAGATTGCCCATTCTTAGATTTCCTTTTATGCATCAAGGTTTGGCAGGGTTAAAAATGTTATATTTATGTACAATGCTTGTGTGAAATGGCTGAAAGGACAAAAGATGATTGCTTAAGAGAGAAAGACAATGCAAACTAACAACCTAGATTTTTGGGAGGGACAAAATAGTGTGGATGCAACTGAATTGGTGCATAATTCAATGAGGACACCCACTATTTCTTCTTGTCTAGACTGTCTCCTCCAGGAGGCAACCATATTAGATTTTAACCTTTTCCATTTTCTCATAGGAGAGTTGAGGGGTAGATATAATAATGATAATAATAGTTAACAATTGTCATGTGATTATTATTGCTAAGCTGGTGATCTGACTCCACATGTAGTTTTTTTTTTTAAGATTTTATTTATTTATTTATTTATTTATTTTCCCCCAAAGCCCCAGTAGATAGTTATATGTCATAGCTGCACATCCTTCCAGTTGCTCTATGTGGGACGCGGCCTCAGCATGGCCGGAGAAGCGGTGCGTCGGTGCGCACCCGGGATCCGAACCCAGGCCACCAGCAGCGGAGCGCCCGTACTTAACCGCTAAGCCATGGGGCCGGCACCTCCACATGTAGTTTGTAATTGAACCATAACAACAATATGATGGGGGTATTATTTTCCTCAGAAAATTGTGATAACTGCTGCAGCTAGTAAGTTACTAGTCCCTTTGAAAACTAGGTCTCTGAGGCTAGAGACTAAACTTATAAGCACCATGCCTTACGATTTCACTATTCTAGGACAGTAGACTAAGAATGGATAGAGGAGTGAAAGAAAGAAAAACAAAGCAATAAAGAAAGAAAGAGAAAGAGGGATGAGAGGAAATAATATCCTGCTTCTTATCCCAGGTCTGATCTGTGTCCTTTCTTTCATCTGGAAGTCACATACAAGTCTAAGATTGATTTTAAAATTAACTGCGTCAATTATAATTTGATAATTAGTTATATAAGTCATGACATACTGAATAATCCATATCAATATTGGCTGTTCTTGGTCAAGAGCTGCTCTGTTCACCTACTTTCATAATGTTTGGGGCCCTTTTCTGCTCTAGACACAAGAAAAATACTTCTATTGCCCCTGGGGTCGACAACACCAACTGCAATTAGGAGAATCCATGCTGTAGCAGTCATCCACTACTGGTGACCTATCTGATTTTCAAAAAAAGCAATAGTTTTCCCTAACCAATTGTGGTTATTATTATCCCTGATGATTTTTATTCTAGAGGACAGTGCATGGCAAGACATTCGATGACTTTTGAAGAGAAGAGAGAATTAATAAAAACATAGTATACTAATTTATTAAAGAAATTTGGTTTAAAGTGTAATAATCAATGAGCTGGTGACACTTTGCCCACTGTATTATGACATATCTAAACCTAGGACAGATTAGAATATCAAAATTGTTGAAGTATAGCTGTTAGCACTAGAACCGTAGCATCATTAAGTACAACCTGAAGGTTTAATGAACTTTATCGAAAACGTGACATCATTTAGCCATTATTAATATATTAGTGCTTCAAAGAATTTTTTAAAGGTGTCTTCATACCCAAGATAGCATGAATATAATGTGTCCCCCCAAAAATCCATATGTTGAAGTCCTAATCTCCAGTACCTCAGAATGTGACCACATTTGGGGAGAGAGTCTATACAGAGGTAATTACATTAAAATGAGATCATTAGAATGGTCCATAATCCAACATGACTGGTGTCCTTAACAGAAGAGGAATTTTGGACATAGACACATACAGAGGAATGATGACATGAGGACATAGGAAGAATACAGCCACTTAGAAGCCAAAGGGAGAGCCCTGGAACAGATGTTTCCCTCATGGTATCAGAAGGAAGCAACTTTGTCAACACCTTATCTCTGACTTCTGGACTCCAGAACTGTGAGAAAATGCACTTCTGTTGTTAAGCCACCCAGTCTGTGGTGCCTGGTTACAGCAGCCCTGGAAAACTAATACACAAGAGTTTGGGGGAGATTTTTAAGAGAGAAAACTAAGGAGAGACATAAACAGAAATTTACATCAGAAGGATTGGTAGGATTTTGAGAATGGGGAGGATTTAGAACTTGAGGGCCCTGCATAGAAACATTGGATTCTCTCATCTGGACTCATGTCTAATAGAGGGCAGCCATATTGAATTTACATAGACTCTGATGCTTCAAGAACTCTTTCTGGCTTCCCAAAAATCAGATGTGCTATGGATGATACAGGAGCATAAGAAATCAATAACAATAAAAATTGTTCTATAATGCAGACATTGGTGAGCATGAGAGTAACTGTGAATGTTTATGTCACCAATTATTTATTAGACATTCTATTATATTACTTCTATGCTTAAGAGTATTTAATTTATAATTATATATATTAATCTATATGTAATCATAATAATTGTTATGTATTCATTTAATTAATGTGTTAATTTAGTTAATGTATTAATATAATACATAAGTATTAATTTGTGTTATAGAAATAATAATATAATTATATAATTAACAGTATGGCTTCTGGTGGCAAAGTCTTTGGCTTCAAATCCACATTTATCACTTTCTAACTGTGTAACTTCTTGGGGTCTTTTTTCCTCATCTGTAAAAAGGAAATAACAATCATACATTCCTCATTCTTTCAGTGATCCTTTCAACAAGTATTTGAGTACATCCTATGTGTCTCTGACTCTTTGAAACACTAAGTCTTTGGCAATTTAAAAGAAAAGCTTGTGACTTTCTAACACTTACATATATTGAAGATACATGCCACACACACAAAAAGGAAATATATATAGCAGATGATATGTGATGCATTATGAAGTAAAATACAGCAAGGGTGGGGATTTACAGTTTTAAATTGGGCGATGGGAGAGTACCTCGCTGAGAAGTTGCATTGGAGTAAAAATGTCAAAGAAGAAAATGAGCAAAACTTGGCTGTATCTGAGAGAATGGCATTCCAGGGAAAACGACGGGAAATGCAAATAGCCTGAAGAGGAGGAATGTTTGAGGCAGAATCAGAAGACTCAATGTGAAGGAGTAGAGTGAGCAAGCGGATGTCATAGGAGATGGAGTCCCAGAAATGAAAGGGGCCGAATTACCTGAAGCCATAAGCACTTTCACTGAATGAAACCAGAAGTTCTTGGAGAATTTGAGAAGGAAGGAACAAGATCCGGCTTAGCTTCTCAAGGAATCAAGATGGCTGCCACACTGAGATTAACTTATAAAGGTGAAAGATCAAAACCAAAGAGACTAGTTAGAAGTCTAATACAATAACCCAGATGAGACGTGATGTTGGCTTGGGCCAAGGTGGTAGAAATAGAGGCAATGAGAAGTGGCCAGATTCTGGTTGTATCAGTGGGTATTGCCGCAATATTGCTGATGAATTGTATGCAGGATGAGTTGGAAGAGAGGAGAATATAGGAACTCTTTTCCAGACAGGTGGAAGTGTAAATGGGTATGATTTCCAGGCAGTATAAAGGCCCACCAATGAGCTATTGGTCATTCCGCTCTATTACCTACAATCTGCATGTCAAGTGGACAAGAGGGAATAGATCCAGAAGGAGATGTGTTGGTGTCTTAAGACCCACCCACAGATCTGATCTGAGTCTCTATTTCATGTTTGTCAGCCATTTCTGGGGACTGGAAAAATTACTTCACGGTGGCCCAAGCTGAAGCCTTTGATAAAATATTCCAGGAGAAGATGGCGGATGTTCCTCAAGAGATGTTCCCATGGGAATAATGTTCAAGAACTTCTGGATCTTATATGAACGTTGATATTTGTTTCTTCTCCTTGTACATGTAAATGACTGGGGGTAATTGCAGAAAATGTGTTATTTCACCCAAGCCTTGAATTATCAAATCTTTGCATCTTTGAGGATTTGATTGTTAAAAATTACTGGCTCAACCCTAATTAACTTTGTGGCATCCTAGCTTTTTAAAAGTGTTTGTAAAATTTCATTTATACAGAATGATACAGAAAGAAGATAAGTAAAACCCAAAATTATGTCAGATCTTTTTTCTAGTTCTTTTTTAATTGATTTTATAATAATTTATAACTTTGGGAAATTTCAGTTGTACATTATTGTTTGTCAGTCACCATATAAATGTGCCCCTTCACACCTTGTGCCTACCCTCCAACCCCCTTCCCCCTGGCAACCACCAAACTATTCTCTCTGTCTGTGTGTTAGTTTATCTTCCACATATGAGTGAAATCATACTGCATTTGTCTTTTTCTGTTTGGCTTATTTTGCCTAACATAATACCCTCCATGTCCATCCATCTTGTTGCACATGGGACAATTTTATCTTTTTTATGGCTGAGTAGTATTCCATTGTGTGTGTGTATATATATATATATACACACACACACACACCACATCTTCTTTATTAACTCCTCAGTTAATGGTTGCTTCCACTTCTTGGCTATAGTGAATAATGCTGCAATGAACATAGGGGTGCATAAGCCTCTTTGGATTGCTGATTTCAAGTTCTTTGGATAAATACCTAGTAGTGGGATAGCTGGATCATAAAGTATTTGTATTTTTAATTTTTTGAGGAATCTCCATACTGTTTTCCACAGAGGCGGCACCAGTTTGCATTCTCACCAGCAGTGAATGAGGGTTCCCTTTTTTCCACAATCTCTCCAACATTTGTTACTTTTGTCGTGGTGATTATAGCCATTCTAATAGGTGATAGAGTAAGGTGATATCTTAGTGTCATTTTGATTTGCATTTCCCTGATGATTAGTGATGTTGAGCATCTTTTCCTGTGCCTATTGGTCGTCCGTATATCTTCCTTGTTCGTATCCTCTGCCCATTTTTTGATTGGGTTTTTTGTTTTCTTGTTGTTCCGTTGTGTGAGTTCTTTATATATTATGGAAATTAACCCTTTGTCAGATATATGATTTACAAATATCTTCTCCCAGTTGGTGGGTTGTCTTTTCATTTTCATCTTGGTTTCATTTGCCTTGCAGAAGCTCTTTAGTTTCATGAAGTCTCACTTGTTTATTTTTTCTTTTGTTTCCCTTGTCCGAGTAGAAATGGAATGCGAAAAGATCCCTCTAAAACCGATGTCAAAGAGTGTACTGCCTATATTTTCTTCTAGGACTTTTATAGCTTCAGGTCTTACTTTCAAGTCTTTGATCCACTTTGAGTTAACTTTTGTGTATGGTGAAAAATAATGGTCTACTTTCATTCTTTTCCATGTCGCTGTCCAGTTTTCCCAGCACCAATTATTGAAGACTTTCTTTTCTCTGTTGTATGTTCTTAGCTCTTTTGTCAAAGATTAGCTGTCCGTAGATGTGAGGTTTTATTTCTGGTCTTTCAGTTTTGTTCCATTGATCTGTATGTCTGTTTTTGTACCAGTACCACGCTGTTTTGATTATTACAGCTTGGTAGTATATTTTGAAGTTAGGGATTGTGAAGCCTCCAGCTTTGTTCTTTTTTCTCAGGATTGCTTTAGCTATTTGGGGTCTTTGTGACTTCATATGAATTTTAGGATTCTTTGTTCTATTTCCATGAAGAATATCATTGGGATTATAATTGAGATTACATTGAATCTGTAGATTGCTTTAGGTAGTATGGACATTTTAATTATGTTTATTCTTCCAATCCACGTGCATGGGATATCTTTCCATTTCTTTATGTCATCATGGATTTCTTTCAATAATGTCTTATAGCTTTCATTGTATAGGTCTTTCACCTCCTTGGTTAAATTTATTCCTAGATATTTTATTCTTTTTGTTATGATTGTAAATTAGCTTGTACTCTTGAGTTCTCTTTCTGTTAGTTCATTATTAGAGTATAGAAATGTAATTGATTTTTGTAAGTTGCTTTTGTATCCTGCAACTTTGCTGTAGTTGTTGGTTATTTCTAATAGTTTTCCAATGGATTCTTTAGGGTTTTCTATATATAAAATCATGTCATCTGCAAACAGCGAGAGTTTCACTTCTTCATTGTCTATTTGGATTGCTTTTATTCCTTTTATTTGCCTAATTGCTCTGGCCAAAACCTCCCATACTATGTTGAATAAGAGTGGCAAGAGTGAGCACCCTTGTCTTATTCCTGTTCCCAGATGGATGGTTTTCAGTTTTTCCCCATTGAGTATGATGTTGGCTGTGGGTTTGTCATATATGGTCTTTAAGATATTGAGGTACTTTCCTTCCATACCCACTTTTTTGAGAGTTATTATCATAAATGGATTTTGGATCTTGTCAAATACTTTCTCTGCATCTATTGAGATGATTATGTGGTTATTATTCCTCATTTTGTTAATGTGGTGTGTCACCTTGATTGATTTGTGGATGTTGAACCATCCCTGTGTCCCTCATGTGAATCCCACTTGATCATGGTGTATGATCTTTTTAATGTATTGCTGTATTCAGTTTGCCAATATTTTGAACAGGATTTTTGCATCTATGTTCATAGTGATATTGGCCTGTAATTTTCCTTCTTTGTATTGTCCTTGTCTAGCTTTGGTATCAGGGTGATGTTGGCCTTATAGAATATATTAGGAATTATTCCATCTTCCTCTATTTTTTGGAAAAGTTTGAGAAGGATAGATATTAAATCTTTGAATGTTTGGTAAAATTCTCCAGAGAAGCCATCTGGTCCTGGACTTTTATTTTGGGGGGAGATTTTTGATTATTGTTTCAATCTCTTTACTTGTGATTGGTCTATTCAGATTCTCTATTTCTTCTTGGTTCAGTTTTGGGAAGTTGTTTGAGTCTAAGAATTTATCCATTTCTTCTAGACTGTCCCATTTGTTGGTGTATAGTTTTTCACAGTATTCTCTTATAATCTTTTGTATTTCTGCAGTATCCACTGTAATTTCTCCTCTTTCATTTCTAGTTTTATTTATTTTTGCCTTCTTTCTTTATTTCTTAGTGAGTCTAGCTAAGGGTTTGTCAATTTTGTTTATCTTCTCAAAGTATCAGCCCTTGTTTCATTGATCCTTTCTATCATTTTTTGGTTTCAATTTCATTTCTTTCTGCTCTAATTTTTATTATTTCCCTCCTTCTGCTGGCTTTGGGCTTTGTTTATTCTTCTTTTTCTAATTCTGTAGGTGTAGTTTACGGTTGCTTCTTTGGAATTTTTCTTGTTTGTTAAGGTGGGCCTGTATTGCTACGCATTTCCCTCTCAGGACCACTTTTGCTGAATCCCATGTGAGTTTCTATGGTGTATTTTCATTTTTATTGGTCTCCAGATATTTTTTGATTTCTCCTTTAATTTCTGCAATAATCCATTGGTTGTTCAGTCCATGTTGTTTAGTCTCCACAACTTTGTCAATTTCTCAGTTTTTTTCTTGTAGTTGATTTCTAGTTTCATAGCATTATGGTTGATAAAGATACTTGTTATGGTTTCAATCTTCTTAAATTTATAGAGACTTGCCTTGTTTCCCAACATATGGTCTATCCTTGAGAATGTTCCGTGTGCACTTGAGAAGAATGTGCATTCTATTGTGTTTAGATGGAGTGCTCTCTATATATCTATTAAGTCTATCCTGTCTAGTTTTTCATTTAAGTCCACTATTTCCTTCTTGACTTTCTGTCTGGATGATCTATCCATTGATGTAAGTGGGGTGTTTAGGTCCTCTACTATTATTGTGCTGTTGTCACTATCTCCTTTTAAGTTTGTTAATAGTTGCTTTATGTATTTCGGTGCTCCTGTGGTGGGTGCATATATATTTATAAGTGATATGTCTTCTTGGTGGAGTGTTCCTTTTATCATTATATGTTGCCCCTCTTTGTCTCTCATTACCTGTTTTATCTTGAAGTCTACTTTGTCTGATATAAGTATGGCAACATCTACTTTCTTTTGTTTGCCATTGTCTTGGAGTATCATCCTCCAACCCTTCATTCTGAGCCTGTGTTCGTCTTTAGAGCTGAAATGTAGTTCCTGGAGGCAGCATACTGTTGGGTCTTGTTTTTTAATCCATCCTGCCACTCTGTGTCTTTTGATTAGAGAATTCAATCCATTTACATTTAGAGTAATTACTGATATAAGAGGGCTTAATATTACTATTTTATTGTTCATTTTCTGGTTCTTCTGCATTTCCTTTGTTTCTCATCTTGTGTGTTTCAGACTACCAATTCAGTTTGGTAGTCCTCTGTGATCATTTTCTTAGTTTTCTCTTTATTTATCACATGTATCTGTGTTCTGATGATTTGTTTAATGGTTACCATGAGGTTTGTATAAAAAATCTCATAGATGAGATAGTCCATTTTCTGATAGCTTCTTATTTCCTTTGACTAAGTCAATTCCATCCCTTTCCTCTTACCCTTCTAAGTTATTATTGTGACAACTTATGCCATCTTGTGTCATGATTTTGTGGTTAAAGTGAGGAGATTATATTTATTTTTGATGTTTCTTTCCCTTTATCTTTGATGTTATAATTAAGTGTTTGCTAACCTGCTCTGATAGAGAGCTGCAATTGTTCTTATTTTGTCTACCTACTTTTATCTTTGCTCAAGGTTTTGTATCTCCTTTTTATTTATTTATTTTTTTAGGTATGAGGTCCTTCTTGAACATTTCTGGTGGTGGGGGGCTTGTGGTGATGAACTCCCTTAGCTTTTGTTTAGCTGGGAAAGTTTTTACTTCTCCATCATATCTGAAGAATATTTTCACTGGATAGAGTATCCTTGCTGACAGTTTTTGTCTTTCAGAATTTTGAATATATCATTCCACTCTCTCCTAGCCAGTAAGGTTTCTGCTCAGAAATCCACTGAAAGCCTAGTAGGAGTTCCTTCTTACATTATTTTATTCTGTCTTGCTGCCCTTAATATTTT